GGACCCGGCTATATTATCAAATTATCGTCCAGTCTCCAATCTTCGCTTTGTTGCGAAGGTTGTTGAGAGTGTGGTGGAGCGACAACTACCCCGATACCTGGATGAAGTTGTCTATCTGGATCCGTTCCAGTCAGGCTTCAGGTCACGATACAGCACAGAAACGGCATTGGTCGCATTGGTGGATGATCTCTGGAGGGCTCGGGACAGAGGTTGCTCCTCTATCCTGGTCCTATTAGATCTCTCAGCGGCTTTTGATACCATCGACCATGGTATCTTACTGCACCGGCTAGAGGGGTTAGGAATAGTGGGCACCGTGCTTCGGTGGTTCTCCTCCTTCCTCTCTGACCGTTCGCAGTTTGTGTTGGCAGGGGGGCAGAGGTTGACCTCGAGGCACCTTATTTGTGGGGTGCCGCAAGGGTCAGTCCTCTCACCCCTTCTGTTCAACATTTATGTAAAACCGCTAGGTGAGATCATCCGTGGTTTTGGGGTGAGTGTTCATCAGTATGCTGATGACACACAGCTATACATCTCCACCCCAGACCACCCCAATGATGCCCTTGCTGTGATGTCCCGTTGCCTGGAGGCCGTGCGGATCTGGATGGGGAGAAACAAGCTCAGACTCAACCCCTCCAAGACCGAGTGGCTGTGGCTTCCGGCGTCCCGGTATAGTCAGCTGGTACCATCACTGACAATAGGGGATGAGATCTTGCTCCCCACAGAGAGGGCCCGCAACTTGGGTGTCCTCCTGGATTCATGGTTATCTTTAGAAGATCATTTGACGGCCGTGGCCAGGGGTGCCTTTTATCAGGTTCACCTGATCCGCCAGTTGCGTCCCTTTCTGAATCGGGACGCCTTGCGCACGGTCACTCATGCCCTAGTTACCTCCCGTATGGACTACTGTAATGCTCTCTACATGGGGCTCCCCTTGAAAAGCACCCGGAGGCTCCAACTGGTCCAGAACGTAGCCGTGCGGGTGATTATGGGCGCAGCTCGTTACGCCCATGTAACACCTCTCCTACGCGAGCTGCACTGGCTCCCGGTGGTCTTCCGGGTGCGATTCAAGGTGTTAGTTATCACCTTTAAAGCGCTCCATGGCTTAGGACCTGGGTACCTACGAGACCGTCTTTTGCCACCAATAGCCTCCCACCGACCAGTTCGTTCTCACAGGGAGGGACTACTCAGGGTACCGTCAGTCAAATTATGTCGACTGGCGACTCCCAGGGGGAGGGCCTTCTCTGTGGGGGCTCCAACCCTTTGGAATGAACTGCCCCCGGAGATACGGAATATCCCTGATCTCCATGCTTTCCGCCGTGCCCTCAAGACCCTGATGTTCCAACAGGCAGGGCTAAACATACAAACATGCGAATGATTTTTTAAATATTATCTAATTCTGGGTTTTATTTAATTGACCAAACTAAGTAACAATTTTAATTAGCAATTTTATGATGTTTGTGTGTCTATATTTTTCTTGACTGTACACCGCCTTGAGTCCTACGGAAGAAAGGTGGTATAGAAATATAATAAATAAATAAATAAATAAATTAAGATCAACTGAGAAGGTACCACTGCAGATTCAGCTGCTGAGTAATCTTCTCAGTGGCAGCAACCTAGTTATGGCATTTTTTCTCAAAAGATGTTTGATGGGTTCCTACCCTTCTTCTTTCAAGCATGTATGGAACAGCAAATACCCAAGATTTGCAAATATCCGCATCTCTGTAAATGTGTCTTGTTTTGTTCTTCATAAATGAAGTGTTATAAATGAGGTTCTAAGTGATAAAATGCAGGAAAAAAAATAACGTGAAGAACTCCCAGCATCTCTCATCATCGGCTATATTGTTTAGATTGGGGTTGCAGTGAGTTATATTTTAGCAGTCAGGGGAAAAAGGGGTGCTCTTTCTACCTTTTATTGTAATATAGGGAATTCATTCCTCCATACTTGTTAGAATAGGTCCTGGCTTTGGAAAAAAAATTACAATGACAATTGTTTCATGCTGAAAAGGCTGTTTCTCAAGTGAGAAATAGGTGTATCAGTGACACTTATTTTTCATTGATTATAGGCATGTGTAACTGACTAAAAATTGTGTGGCAGTGACTATATTCATGTCCTGCTTTTGTCTATATTAAACAGAACACTAGATTATAAATTCCTTTGTTCCTTTGTTAAATTTATATCTCATCTTTCTTCAGGCACTCAAAATGGTTTATATTCCCCTACAATTTTTCACATCAACAAACTTGAGAGGTATATTACATTTGTGTTTGGGCACAAGTTATAAATGACTTTCCATAGTTGAGGCTAGATTTGAATCCTGAGGTTCAATTGTCCTAATCCAACTTCTTAATCCCTCTATGCTACTCAGGTTTTGATTTAATAGGAGAGGTGCTTTTTATATCACAGCCTACCCCATCCCACCCCTTGTGGTAGGTACAACAATTTACTTTAGAACAATGAAATGCCAATGAAGGCAGACAGATAATATATTCACATGTGAATCTTCAAATGAAAAGACCTTGAATGATGTGTGAATCAGTCCTAAGTCACAGGTAAGTCAGGAAATTGGCTTGAGGCAGATGTAAATACAGAGGTCACAGTCCTGTAGCCAATTTTAAGCTATCTCCACCATTACATTTATAATTAGCATTTTTTGAGAGTGAAATCATTATTTTATTACATTGGAAGCTGGAGTAATTTTTGCTTATAGCATCTTTGTCCACATGGCTGCAGTTAGGAATAATCAACTCTTTTGCTACTTACCTTTAGCAAATTCATGGATCTTTTTTTTTAATAATCTTTATTTATTTATTAAATATTTACAATAAAATTAACACACAATAATGGTTGAAAAGCAATATAGGAAGCAAAATATAGAAACACATAAACACAGGACTAAAACCAAACATCAAACATGACTAAACGAGTTAAGCTCACTCTCCAATTAATATTAACTAATATCATCCTAGCCAAACATTTCAATGCAATCAAGTTCTTTTTACTAACTACAAAACAATTGGTCTGTTTTTATCAAAATTATAAAGAGTTATAAAGCCTAGTAAATATCTAGTTAATCTAATTAGACGATCTTATCACCCTTCTCCTAAGTTTAACCTTCTTTTGAGCCAAAGAAAACATCTGTCCCAACTTTTATTATATACTGAATCTTTCTTGTCTTTTAAGATATACGTTAGCCTGTCCATCTCAGCACATCGAAGAATCTTGTTTATTATCAGATGGTCAGGGGGTGTGTCTGCATCTTTCCACAGTTGAGCAAATGCCATTCTCGCCGCTGTTGAGACATGAACAAATATATACCAATCCTTCTTATCAATGTAGTCCGGTCTTATTCTGAGTAAGTAGAGGTCTGGGTGAAGAGGGAAGCTCACACCTGTTATTTCCAACAGCCACTGCTGTATTTTCCCCCAATAGCGTCTAGCTAAATTCATGGATCTTTAATGATAATGAGATTTTCCTCTAGAATCCCCAGAAATTTGTTCAATAATAACACTTTTAAAAAATGGATACCTGAGAAACAGGATAGCAGAAATATGGGGTGGGAGAAGAAGAAAATGATGTGTATAGCTATAATAGATTAATAGACCAAATAATTTAAACAAGATCTCTCATTCTCACAAAGGGCATTCATTTCATTTGATTCAGAATTTGTCTTAATGGTATTATTGAGAGAATATCAGTGCAATCCTTTTTTAAAAATTCATATTCTCTGTTCTATTAGCAGTACTCTTAGTTTAAGTCTTTAAACGAAGTGGATCTATTAATACACCAGAGTAACCTGATGGGGAACTTTTATAACTTAGATTTGCATGTCTATCTAGTTTATTGTCCACTGACTATGTCTCAAGGAATGTATTCCCCACCACCCCCACCTGTTTCAGGATTGTAGGTGAATATGTTAAATAAGTATCTAGAGTTAGTAGTGAATTAAATAAGAACAAACCAGCTCACGTTAGATCAATAACTGCTATTAGTAGAGGATGTCACTAGTTTTGGCAGCATGGTTCCATCTGATTTAAGAAGGGCTGGGCATCTGCTTAAGGATCAAATTCTTTGATCCTTGTCATATGTAAACTGTCATGAAGCTGAGATTAATAGTATATCACCTGTTACTTCTCTTGCATAAAGATAGCTTAGCTTGAGTTAGACATGCATTAGTAACATCCAGATTCACTTACTATAATGAATTATATATACACCTGACTTTGAAGATGACTTAGAAATTTCCAGTGCTTCACAATACATTAACTAGCATTTCATAGTTGACGTCTCACTGATATTTCAGATAGCTTGTATGAAATTAAATGAGCAGAAATTAACCTATAAATCCCTGTACAGCTTGGGGCTAAGGTTTCTCTAAGATTACCCATTCTCATATGAAGCAGCTCATAATCATCTATCCTTATAGGGGTACAGTTGTAAGAGCCTTTCCCATAGTGTAATCCAAAGATAGGACTTTGAAACATTTCTCTAGGGCCTAGACGATGAAATATCCGGTCTCTAGGGTGGCCTCTAGATTGCAACAGGTTTCCATCTGCAATGTTAACATTGTTTTCAGAGATGGTCTTCATGCATGCAGCTACATATATGAAGCTTACCAAATAAGTAGGAATATTGTCCTATTTTTTAAATTGGGATTTCTGTTCATATAGAAATTTTTGGGTATGCATGACGGAGTGTTTTCACTAAGGACATTTCTGCTGAATGCTCAGCTACCTGTTGAGAACACTCTCCGATAAGAAGCCTGGGTTAACTTATCACTCTAGGTCACATAGGTTGACTTTACCTAGTTTAATCATGCTGAGTAGAATATTAGAATGAAGAGTGTTGTGTAGGTAAATTGAAGAGACTGGAAACAGGCTTTAGACAACAGCTCTTTATTTGGCAACTCTATACAATCCAGCAGCTTGCCTCTCTGACAGCTAGCCCTTTTATAGGGAGCTGTCAGGGATTTCAGCCAATCACGTTTGAGTATTCTTCCTGCTCAAACAATGGACCAGAGGGAAAACCTTAGTTGTCAATATCTAACACCCCTCCCCTCTTAGTTGGAGCAATCCAGTCTGCATACGTAGTCACGCAGGTAGGTGGGGCGTTTACAATTCCTACTGGACCTGCGTGGCTCAGTTGGTGTGGCAGCAGCGGCCTGAGAGGTTGTGCCTGCTGCCGCCTCCTGGTCTACCCATGGAAGGTCCTGGAACTTTTCGTTTTGGGCCTTGGAGTCTACTGGAACCGGTTCGTGGTTGGGGCATTGCTGGACTCCCAGTTCTTCAGGTGCGTTCTCCGTCACCATCGGGCTTGAGTCTGCTAAGGAGGGGTTAGAATTAAGCTCTTTTTGTTTGGGTTCTATTATTTCTTTAGTTTGGCCAAGGCGGCTACGTAGTTGGTCTATATGCCGCCTCCATTGGCACCCATCATCAAGTCTAACTACATATGACCGGGGCCCTGTTATGTTTTCTATTTGTCCTGATAGCCAAAGGGATCCTTCGGCAAAGTTTTGTGTGTGTACCAGGTCCCCTATGCTAAAGGCCATGGTGCGGTTTTGTGCGTCTGGTGTTATTTCAGGGGCATAGTTTCGGTGAAGGCAGTCTATGACTGATCAAAGCCAGCGAACCCATGAGGAGCTCGGCCGGGCTTCTCCCTGTGACCACACTGGGGGTTATGTGTTGGTACAGGAGAAATTTGTCCACCCGGGCTTACCAGTCTCTTGGTGCCAACCTGCTCAATGCCTCATTGGCAGATCTTACCATCCTTCCAGCTTGCCCATTACTGGCCAGATGAAAAGGTGCCATGAGGGCATGGTGAATTTCCTGCTCTGCCAAGAACCCCTAAAACTGGGTGGCCGTAAATTGAGGGCCGTTGTCCAATATGAGGACATTGGGCAGGCCATGCATTACAAATAGTTTTCTGAGCACCTTGATTACTGCATCCACAGTGGTGGTGCCCATTAGGATGATCTCCAGCCACTTGAAGTAAGCATCCACAACCACTAAGAATGTTTGGCCATGGAATGGACCAGCAAAATTGATGTGTTACTTTGACCAGGGGGCTTTGGGGTGATCCCACTCCTGAATGGGTGCTCTGGGGGGAGCTGGCTGCGACTCTTGGCATAGCGGGCAACCTGGCTACCATTCCTGTATTTCCTGGTCCATGTTGGGCCACCATACAAAACTTCTGGCTAGGGCTTTCATCTGGAAAATTCCTGGATGCCCTTCGTGCAATGCCTTTAGGATAGGTGTCCTTGGAGGATTACCCAGTCTCCCCACAGTAAACACCTCCCCCCAAGCTGACATTTCATGCTGTTAGCCACAAATGGCTTAAACTCGGCACTGACCAGGCCTTTAGGCCATCCCCTCCACACCCAGTTCAAAAGTGTCTTGAACACTGCATTCTTAGCCGAATGCTGTGCCACTTCGGAAGAAGTCACTAGTCCTGAATCTAGGCAGTCAATGAGGAGGACAGGAATGCCCAGGGTCGGGTCGTCCAGCAAATCAGGCAGGGGGCATCTGCTGAGGGCATCGGCATGCCCCACAGTCTTTCCAGGTCTGTGGAGAAGTTTGTAGCTGTAGGCCGACAGGAAGATAGTCTACCTCATAAAATGAGGTGACAATGCTGCCGGTGTGGGTGGTCACCTGCCAATAGTCCTAACAGTGGTTTATGGTTCGTCACCAATTCAAAATCCCTCCCAAATAATTATTCGTGAAACTGCCTGACCCCAGCCACCACAGCCAGTGATTCCCTGTCCTGCTGGCTATAGTTCCGTTCAGCACTGGACAGAGTATGGGAATAGTAGGTGACCAGGGTGTCCGTTCCATTTGGGAGTCTGAGAACAGCCCCCACACCAAAAGGGGAGGCATTGCAAACCAGCACCAATGGCAGAGTGTCATTGTACTGGATTAAAAAACTGTCAGCAGAGAAAAGTTGTTTGACTGCCGTAAAAGCTGTGGCCTCCTTGCGCCCCCAGACCCATGAGCATTTTTTAGTGAGCAGTCTATGGAGGGGCTCAGCAACTGTAGCTTTATTTTTCAGGAACAGGCTGTAGAAATTAAGCAAGCTGAGAAATGCTTGCAATTCCGTCCGGTTTTTTGGAGTGGGAGCTTCCTTAATAGCCTGCACTTTGTTTTGTGTGGGGTGAATTCCTTCTCCGTTGATCCTATAATCCAGGAATTCAAGTTTGGGCACTCTGATCTGGCATTTGCTGCTCTTGACTCAGAGCCCACAGCCTGAAATTTTGACAGCACTTCCAGTAGTCAGGAGTGCAATTGCTGTTCATCACCTGCCTTGATTACGACATTGTTAAAGTATGGCACTACCCTGGGAATTTTCTGCAACAGCCTTTCCATTACACTCTGGAAAAGTCCCGGGGCAACGCTAACCCCAAATTATGAACAGTGACATTTGAACGCCCCCCTATGCGTTACAATGGTTTGAGCCTCCGCAGTAGCGCCATCTACCAGCAATTGCTGGTACGCTTGCACAAGGTCAAGTTTTGCGAACATCTTTCCCGGGCCCAGGGAATGTAGTAGATGCTGGACTATCGGCACGGGATAGGCGCTCTGCTGCAGAGCATTATTTAATGTGTACTTATAGTTGGTGCAAATGCGCACAGACCCATTCCCTTTAATGGGGGTCACAATTGGGGTCTCCCACTTAGCATGGTCTACTGGCTTGAGGATGCCCTCCCTGTGTGATTAGTTTGTCCAATTCCAAGTCAATCTTTGGTCTTAGTGCGAAAGAGACTCTATGGGGCTTCATTTGGATGGATGCAATGTTAGGGTCTAGGCTAAAGGAGAAGGGGGTACTCACATAGTTGCCTAGATCTAGGCTGAACACATCATGGAACTCCCAAATCAGGTCTCTGTGCAGGAGCTGAAGATAGCGTTCATCCTGGTTACTCCCAGCCCAAGGGATTCAAACCAGGCCAAACCGAGTAGATTCGGGAGGTCTCCGCCAACAACAGTCAAGGACAGGTCCCCCTGGAATTTGTTGAACTGGACATTGAAAGTCCCACAGCTGATTACAGGGATTCGATTCCCTTGGTAGTCGCTGAGCCGCAATTGTTGGTGATCTAGCTGCTTTTTCGGGGTCCTTGGAACTGCAGGCTTTAATGCTTGCCAGGAGATGATTGTTACTGACGAACCAGTGTCATTCTCCATGTTGCAGGATGACCCTTCAATTTGCACAGTGACATGTAATTTCTTCCTGCAGGGTGTGCTCGCTTGTTCTATTCTTGTTTGGTAGTTTGTTTCAGGTGCCCTTGCATTGACAGTTTTGCGCCTTGGCTTCCACATTTCCCGCTTAGGTGGTTTTGGAACCTCAGGTTGGGGAGTGTCTGAGGCGGCGTGGCAATTGGTGGGCAGGTTCACTTGGTAAACTCTTGCCAAGTGCCCCTTTTGGTCACATCTGCACAGATGGCATTCCAATAACAGCAGGATGCTCTAGGGTGCCGACCCCCACAGCTGGCACATGGTTGCCTCTTACTTTCCTGCTCTGTGGGTCTTTTTCTATTCATGCGATAGACCTCGTCCTCTCTCCCTTTGGATTTCTCGTCCTGATAGTGGCCTTTATGGATGGTGGCTGTGGGTTTTGTTGCTGCCGGAGCTGTAGCAAGCTTCTGGAGCGATTCAGCTACTCTGTTTGACAACTTGGTTGCCCTTGCCTTGTCCAATGCAGCCTGCAGAATCAGATTTGTTTTGGCCAAAAGTCTCCATTGCAGTTGGAGGTCTTTTATGCCACAAATGATCTGATCTATCAAGATGTCATCCAAGTCTCTAAATTCGCAATGGACAGTGGCTTTTCAAAGTGCTGCGACATATTGATTAATGGATTCGGCGTCCTGCTGCATGAGTGCCTGAATTCATAATGTCTCACTATTTTAGATGGTGCTGGAGCGTAATGAGTTTTTAGAGAATTTTGCAGCACCTGCCGTGGTACGGATTGCACCGGAGTTGGTCCGGACAGGGATTTAGCTGTGCCAAACACATCGTGCCTGCAGTGGCTAAGGAAAAGCACCCGTTTCCTGTTGTCTGATAACCCAAGGAGATCGTTCGCCTCCATAAAACACTCGATTCTGGTCATATAAGTGCCCCATTTCTCCTTCAATGGGTCAAAAGGCATAGGCAGGTGGAACGCAGACATGCTTGCTGCTCTTCTTCGCATTTGAACTTGGTGCGCAAAATGGCCACCTGGCTGGATTGTCTCATTGTCAGCTCTTTTTGCCTTAGTTCCTCTTCAGGATCCCATCCTAGTCGCCAGTGTTGTGTAGGTAGTTTGAAGAGACTGGGAACAGGCTTTAGACAACAGTTCTTTATTTGGCAACTCTACACAATCCAGCAGCTTGCCGCTCTGACAGCTAGCCCTTTTATAAGAGCTGTCAGGGATTTCAGCCAATCACATTTGAGTATTCTTCCCACTCAAACAATGGACCCGAGGGAAAACCTTAGTTGTCAATAGCTAACAAAGAGCAATGATTTTTCTGAAGCTAATGAATTTTATGGTTTTGCTCTTGGCTTGGTCCTTCTGTCAGTTGAGTGCATTTCAGCTGTGAGCATCCTTGTCTTCAGAAGCTGCTTGGGTAGTAGCTGGAAACAAGGTCTTTCAGGGTCTTGAGCATGACGTATCCCCTGGCATATTCCCCAGGTCAGGGCATAAGATAGCAATAGCAATAGCATTTAGATTTATAATCCACTTCATAGTGCTTTATAGCACCCTCTAAATCTAAGTGGTTTATAGAGTCAGCATATTGCCCCTAAAACAATCTGGGTCCTCATAGTTGGTTGATTATTCCTATAAAGTAATCCTAAGCAAGAACCAAAGTTTCATTACATACTAAGAAAGTTACATGTAATAAATTCACCTCCGTGAATAACATTATTTATCTTATAGAAGTTTTTTTTAATATTAATTCAGTTCAGTTCTGTGAGATATTTTTATGCAAGTGAAAGGTAGAGCTTATAATTTTTTAATTTGCTTTTGAGCAAATTTAAACAATTTGTTTCAGTATTTGCTCAATGTAACATTAAACACTTCTTTTTTTATGAAATAAAAAAATAAATAAGAAAGACTACATTAAAGTCTGATTTTAATTTAATTTTCTGAAGATAAATCCCTCCAGCTCTGTTCCCAAAGTCACCTTTTTCTTAAATTTATTTGCTATCCTTCTGATAAGACTTTCTTTTAATTATCATTTGTTGCTGCTATTGCATTATTTTTAAAATTGATTTTAAAATTGATTTTGGACTTTTTATTGCACTCCAAAAATCTAACTTTAAATTAGCTACCATTTTTGTTTGCACGTAATAAAATTAATTTATTGCAGAACTTACGACTGCTTAAAAGATATGACTCATGAAACTAGATACCAACTGATAAGCTGTGTTTTCTCACTTTCCTCAGCAGTAATTACAAAAGCAGAGTAAAAGAACAGAACATTTCTGTCATTTTAAAATCCAATAGTAGACATCATTTAATCCTTTAAAAAAAATGTTAGCCCTGAATTTAAAAAAAAAAAATGTTAACTGATTTAAATACTTTCAGCTGGCAAATGATTCTATAGATAAAATAGTGGATGAGGAAAAAAAAAACTTTCAGCTTAAAATTCTCATAACTGCTTTGTGGAATATTTTACTATCTGCTTCTCTAATAGGTGGAAATAGGAAATAAGTGCTTCCAAAGAGACTACTGTCATCAATTGAGCAGGCAGTGTAAAATTATACTATCTCACCTAGTGAAATGATGGGTTTATGGTAAGATAAAATACAGAAAAAGTGATAGTAAAACAGGATTATTGTTGTGGAGGAAATAGGAGGAGGAAGGAATATTAGGTATGTTCACTGCCTTGAGTTATTTATAAAAAAATGATAAAGGCATATAAAAATAAATAAATAGAAGATGGCATCAATTGGACCACCGGGAAAATATGAATGAGGCAGAACCATTATATAATTGTTCATGACACCTACATTAGCTCTCTTAACAGTCATCCTTTCTCTCTTATTACAGTGACAGAATATGCAGGGTGAACATGTGAATTTAATATGTCCTATAATATCAAACTAGAATGAAGATTTTGCAAATCTTCTACTCCAATTTTATTCCACAAAATATGTTTAGAATTAAAACATGCATTGGATTGCTCTTGGATCTTGGATGGGTACCCTGGCTTTGGGTCAACTTTTCAGGTACTCAAAAACATGTTTCTTAGTTCAATTTCTAAGAGGTTTTGGGAATTGTGATGATTATATTGTAATAGAGTTTGCATTTACAGTGTAAAAACACCCAAGTGGGGGGACACACACACACACACACACACACACACACACACACACACACACATATATATATATATATATATATATATATATATAGATATATATATATATATATATAGAATAACTCTTTCTATTATTATAAAATGATTAGTTGGTCAAATAAATTGAATTTTGCATATGTAGTCTTATCTTGATGTCATTAAAGCATTTGACAAAGTCTTTCACGATATCCTTGTGGACAAAATGGGTGAATGTGAGCTAGATGGTACTGCAGTCCTATGGATTTACAACTGGTTGAATAATCATAGTCAAAGGCTGCTTTTAAACAGTACTGGAGGGAAGTATCAAGGTGGATTCTTTACAATTTTTTTCTTGGCCTACTGTTTTGTTTGTTTTTTTTAAATTTGATTTATATGCTGCCCTTCTCCGGAGACTCAGGGTGGCTTACAATGCGTTAAGCAATAGCCTTCATACTTTTGTATATTTTTACAAAGTCAGCTTATTGCCCCCACAAACTGGGTCCTCAATTTACCTACCTTAGAAAGGATGGAAGGCTGAGTCAACCTTGAGCCTGGCAAGATTCGAATTTACTAATTGCAGACAGCTGGAGTTAAATTACAATGCGTTAGTCTGCTGAGCTATCCAGGCTCAGTTTACTGTTGCCCCACATTATTATAATTATCCTCAAGAATGGAATGAAAGGAAGGAATATCAGATCTGTGGATGACACCAAGCCAGATACATGGATGTTCCGATGCAAAATCTTTCATCTGAATAGAAATAATCAAATGCATGGATAAAAAATTACGGGGGAGACCTGGTTTGGCGAGTGTGCACGTGAGAAGAATCTAAAAATGCAAATGAACCACCAGCTGACCATGAATAAGTAGTGTAATGAGCAACTATAATAACCTGTTTGTAATCTTGGACTGTATTAATAGAAGCTTTGCATTTAGATCATGTAAGGTAACCTCAGGTCTGGTTGTAGGCATCAAGGAAAGTGCACGTATTCACATGCTTCAGAGGTCAATGTGGCAGCATAGGTCAGTCAAGCATTGAACCTGTATTGGCTAATACAGAGAGCAAAGGACAGAAAAGCAGGGTGGTGCATGAACACATGGAGGAATTTGCATGGAGAGCATTCATGTATATGGAAGGAGAGTGAGACATGTGCACTGGCAAAGAACAGAAATCATGTAGCCTAATGAGGCAATCTGAAGTTGTGGTTATGAGAATGGTCTTCTTTTTTTATTATTATTATTATTTTATTTTTTAATATCATAATTCCATCTTCAACTAAACAGTGTGTCATCCGAGTAGAGATATCTTTATGAAATAATAATCAAAATTGACAACAATATTCATTACATTAACATTGATTCTATAATATTAAAATGATAATATTAAACATAATCATAATATTTGCTTCTCTCTCTTAACATATCTTCTTTACTTCACTAATCTTTTTCTTTTGTTTCCCTGTTTCTAACTTCCGTTTTTGTTATCTAACCATTGATAAAATAAGTCCCATGTCATATAATATTCAGTTTGTTCCTTGGGAAATGGTCTTCTCAATGGCAAGGTAAGTCAAAGTCATTATCTAGTTCAAGGGCCAGGAAACAAAGCAACAAATGGAATCAGGAATGCATTGCAAGATGCCAGAGTGAAGCAGAGGGCACTCAGTATCCTAAAGGCTCTGATTCTTTAATGGTTCCCCATCCATGGATGATGATTTCACTTATATTTTGCATTGATTAGACAACACAGTACTGCTGCTAGTTGTGGGCACTGCACTTCTGACAGAGTCAGGGCAAAGCTAAAGTGGGTTCAAAGGAGAGCTACAACTATCATAAAATGGAATTTGGAAACCAAACCCTGTGAGGAATGGTTAAAGGAGATGAGCATATTGAACTATAAAAAGACAGACTATTCTCTACAGAAACTGAAAACAGGACAAGGACTAACAGCTTGAATGCTAGGAGGAATTTCCTGATAGAAAGAGCTGTTAAGCAGTCAAACAGTTTGCCTAGAACAGTGGTAGATGCCTCCTCACTGTAGTTTTCAAATGGGAGCCATATGGACAAGCACAGTGAATGTTCAGCAGATTCTTGCACTAAGCAGGGGTTTGGTCTTAATGACTTATATGGTCCCTTTGAACATATACATCTACAGTTCTTTGGTACTAAAATCCTTTCACATTTTTAATGGAGAGTTAAGTTGCATCTCCGATCCTTCCCTTCCCCCTGTTGACTATAAGTGCTTTCCACTCATCACTGTGTCAGCAGATAACTTTTACTGGCATTAAATTTGTTGTCCCTATTCCTGATACCTGATTAAGTCATTGCAATCAGCTGCCCACTCCAAAGTAACGGGTGTAAGATTTTATCCATCCTGTGGCTGCCCTTGGACAGTGTTGGAACAAGGGGAACAGTGTTGTAATCGCAGTACCATGAAGGTTGATTCAAGTCTCATTCATTGGCTGAATTTGAGATGATGGCAATATTATGGGAACTGTACAGCTAAAAGAGGCTGCAATGCCAAGGTGTGTTTGTGCAATCATTAGATATAAGTAGGGGAAAGGCCTTTAAGATTGTTACACAGGTGGTCCTTACTTACCAACCACAACTGGGACTGACAACTCTGTCATTAAGTGAAATGTCATGTGACCACACTGGACTCAGCTCAGATTTGCTGCAGTTATTAAGCAAGTCACCATGAATCATTAAGTGTGACATCACATGACTGTAACTTGCAACTTCCTGCCAGCTTCCCCATTGACTTTGCTTGTCATAAGCCAAATGTGAAGATTGCAAACACAGCATGTAATTGTGAGATATTGTGACTATCATAAAAGTATACCAATTGTGAATTGTGATCCCATGAACTGCAGGGACACAAATTTGAGGACTGGTCATACTGTTTCATCATAACTTTGAGGAGTTGCTGAATGAGTCAATCAGTAAGCAAGGACTACCTGTATTATAGTTGCTTAATGTTAAGAAAAGGGACACGGTGGCTCAGTGGCTAAGATGCTGAGCTTGTCACAAGATCAAAAGATCGGCAGTTCAGCGGTTCGAATCACTAGTGCCGCATAATGGGGTGAGCTCCCATTACTTGTCCCAGCTTCTGCCATTCGAAAGCACGTAAAAAATGCAAGTAGAAAAATAGGGACCTTTGGTGGGAAGGTAACAACGTGCTGTGCGCCTTTGGCATTTAGTCATGCCAGCCACATGACCATGGAGACGTCTTCGAACATCGCTGGCTCTTCGCCTTTGAAACAGAGATGAGCACTGCCCCCTAGAGTTGGGAAGGACTAGCACATATGTGCAAGGAGAACCTTTACCTTTACTAATGCTAAGAAAGTCGTGATTGAGTTTTACATTCAATCTCTTTTTTATATGATTTTCATTGAAATTTTTGAAAAAAGAGGATAAAACAAATTACTAATAAATAAGAAAAAAAAGGAAAAAAGACAAAGCAAAAAGTGTAAGAAAGAAAAAAGTTGAAGAAAAATAAAAAAGAAAGGGAAAAAGTATACAAAACAGTTTCAATATTCTTCAGAGCAGTTATAAGTACAATTATATTTTTATCTTTCTCTCTAAAGTTATATCATATTGCTCTTCTTTCTATAATCTATTCTAATTATCAAAGCTATAAATCAACAGTTCATCCCCCCCACTTTATATTAAAAGTCCATAAAAAGTTTCCAGTCACCAATAAATGTAGATAGGGACCGCTGGGACATAAAAAGGGAGTGTCTTTTCTCTAATAAAAGAAATTAATGTATCCATCTTGGCAAAATCTCTCAATTTTCACCAACCATTTTTTCATAATGATTAATGTTGAATCTGAGCATATAAGAATCTCATCACAATAATCATATATTGAAATAACCATGGCTTGTTTCTAACTGAATCATCCATTAGTCCTCAAAGGAAAAGTTCTGGTTTCAATTGTTTTGCATTCAATCTGAATCTCAGGCTCCTTAAGATCCCCAGTTAGAGAGGAAAAAGTAGACCTCTGTATTTTAGAGCCATTGCCACACGATATGAACTCTCTCTCTCTCTTTTTCACCTTTTCAGTGTTGTGTCCTGGTGACTGCCTGGACAAGTTCCTGCAGTTTTTCTTGGCAAGATTTCGTAAACAGTTTTCAACTGCCTGTTTCCTAGGGCTGAGAGAGAGTGATTGGCTGAAAGTTACCTCGTTGGACTCTATACCTAAAGCAGAACTAGAATTCAGCTAGTCTCCCGGTTTCTAGCCTGATGCCTTAACTACTCCGGTACATCAGACTGGCTTTCTTAAAGAGAACTAATCTTCTCCAATTGGATCATGTGGGCTAATGATTGCGTGGACTATGGTACAACTTATCTGGAAGACAATAAGTTGTGTACGGCTGAAAAAATATACTGGGCAAGATGGAAAAGTAACTCAACTGATGTTCTGGGGACTTTCATTAATTATTGCAAACATGCTGCTTTGCAACTGGAATGCTTAATCTGCTCTCCTTTATGCACCAAAATGTGGTTTAATAATTCAACCATTCCTCTGAACTTATACCAGGCTGCCATTTTATCCAATCACCCTTTTTGTGCTAGATTGGGTCAATTTCTTTTCTTTTTATTCTACTGAAAGCCATTGCTTCCTCTTGGAAAATACAAATATCTACTTCTGGAGTTGTCACTCATCTAGCAAGCCCACCAGCCCCAATGCAGATGTCTTTCTGGTTTGTCAGCACTGGGATGGCTGTCAGAGCTCTGAATAATTCATCTGCTTTATAACATTTACTGGGATTTAGTGTTTAATAACTGTCACTCCAATAGATCTTTTTCTAATCCCTTCAGATCAGTTGCTGTAGCAATTTTAAATATTTAGCAACACAGTTTGTGTATTCACTGTTGGGGTTGCAATTT